AATTCCGTGATTTCTTAGTCAAACTATTTGAATATTCAGGAATTTATCCAGTGATGTATGTGGATGTCACCTAAAGATGTTTTCCCTTTTGACGAAACCAGTCTTTCCTTTCATCTCATGCTTTAAAATGCTTAGCCTCTAAAGGCTCAGACCAAGTACTGATGAAATGGATTGAATTAGATTATTAAGTTACGACAAAGCAGGGTATCTGCCGTAAAAGGCTTTCATGAAGAACTTTCTAAGGGAAACCAGCTGGCATACATGTTACGATGAGAAAAACCATGAAAATGTCCATGCAACCAGCCCGTTTTCGAACCCCGGAGCGAACTACCAGTGTTCAGTGACTTTACCGCTCGGCTGTTGCTGGCTTTATGGAATGGAAGGCGATAAATTTATTTAAAATGAATGTCAGAAATACCAAGATGTTTCGAAAAGTTGAATGCTTTATAATATACTTGCAGAATGCCTGAAGAAAAAGAGCAAGTCATTAAGAAGAAAAAAATATATTTTTGCATAAAATTATAGTATTTATTTTTAAATTTAAAACTTTTTAATCTTATGACAATTTGATTCTTGCGATTTCAAAAATAAAATATTTGAACTAAAATATGAATAAAATTTTAGAGAAACTAAATGTAGGGTGATAAAATTGGGTAACAGCAATGAGCATAATGTTAAAACTATTTAAAGCAATATATGCAAGTCATCCTAAGTTAAAATGTCAGTTATACATCCTTTTATTCATTTATATATCTTTTCTGAATGGAACGTTGAAAGGCGTGTTAACTGTGCTTTTCTGTATTTTCTCTTTTAATATATTCAGTTTTCAGATGCATCGTGGTCTGAGACACAAAGTATTCTTTCGAAAGAAACGCAGTTCAAATAAATAAAATAAAATCCTGGAAAATTTATATTAATAAATATATTTAAAATGCTCAGTTCGAATGAAAAAATAGTAAATTTGAAGAGACAGTGCATCCCAAACAATTAAAATAAAAGGTCTAAAAATTAAAAAATTACCTAAAATAATAACTGTGACAAAAATGTTATAAAGAAAACTATTTGAAAAAAAATAAACAATGCACCTTATATTTAAACTACGCGATTCGAATGGGTAAATAGACATTTCTAAAACAGTTATTTGAAAGAAACCATGCAACTTAAACAATTAAAATGAAATTTGTAAAAGAAAAAAAATTAAAGTAACAACATAAAAATCTAATATAAAGAACATTATTTGAATGAAAGAATGTTGTGATATTTTTTAGTTGAAAAAATTATAAAAATAATATTGCGCACGTCGAAAGGTTAAAAAGTTCGAAGTTCGCCAAGTGAACTCTTGTTTGTGAATTTCTCTGTAAATTTCACACCAAATTATACAAAATTTCATATTTGGGCATAATTTGAGTCATAGAATCGAAATATGTAAAAAACTTGGCATGTTATTTCAGAAAAGTCCGATTTTGTGTCAAAATACCCATGTTAGAATAGTGCTATATATAAATCTGATATATATCTTAAGTCATGCTTTCAAGACATGAAAAACGCAATTTGAATTTTGTCAATCGGCCCAGTAGAACGGGAGATGTAGAACTGTCCCTTCTTCTTCTTCTTCTTCTTTTTTTTTTTTTTTTTTTTGTGCACTGTACATTTTATTCATAAAGGAAATCACCTTTATGCTACTTTTCTGTTGCTTTCACCCAAACTTTTCTGTCTTTTAAATTGACAGGTGTGACATCCTACTCTATGAGAACAAGGATACAATAAACATATCATAAGATACCATATGGTGTACATGACTGTTGAACTAAAAAACAGGAACAGATTCTGTAATTCCGTTGAAGTTTTTTATAGACTTTCTGATTTCATTGAAATTTTTTTGATTGAGCTGCCAGGCAAAACTCTATTCAAGGCTGATGCTGTGATAGAAATTTTCTCTTTTCAGGGAAAGAGGGTGTAATAATGATTTTTCCTTTTTCAGGGAAAGAGGATGTAATGATTCTTATGGGTTTGTGGTTTTACAGTTGACTTTTCTTTCAGGGAATGAAAAGTTTTGATCCTTGTCAACTTTTTTTATTTGAATATAAATGTTTTCCAAGTTCTAACCTTGGAATAGCGTCCTCAGTCTTGCATTTGCAAGATACATGGTAATGGTGTGTCAAAAATTCATCCACATGACAAGTCGTAAACGTAAAGCTTCTGCACTGAAGATAAGGGGAACATTATTGGAAAACTACAAAATGGGTGTATGTAATTTGATATCTGCTAGAAATATAGTTTATTCAAATATACACTTCATACCATATGAAAAAAATCTAGAAATTGAAGAAGATAAGGCATAGATATATTAAAAAAGCATTGCTAAAATAGTTCACCATTCAAAAGAAGCCATAATCTGTCAATATCTGGACAAATGCTTCAGATAAAGAAAAACAAATTGTGTGTATTAATAATTGTGTCAAATCTTAATATGATTGGTTTATAATTAGATTTATTATTCACTTTTTTTGTGGCAGATGGGAAAATATTAAGCAGTTTTTTCCTTAGTCATCATTCAGTTTTTATACATTTTTAATTTTTATGATCAATTTTTCTTATCAGATCAGATATAGCACACCAGACTTCCAGTCCCTTGAAGTTCAGTATAATGGGATGGACTGCAATTTCTTCCTTTTAAAGCTTTGCTTTTGTATGATAAAGGTAGAAGCAATTTAAAATTCATTGTCCAACATTAAAGTCTAAATAGTCTTGTTTGTTTTTGGATCCTCCCCCCCCCCTTTTTTTTGGCAGAGGAGGGGGATAAAACAAAATTATTAATTTATTTTGAATATTATTTGCGACATCCCTGTTTATTTCCATTATGACAATATTAAGAAAATAATGAAACTGACATTTTCCAAGACTTACTCATATTAATATTCAGATGAACTATTCGGTTGGCAGTAAAAGGAAATCAAAGGGAAAGAGATGGATGATCTTTCTTTTCAAATCCATACTTTTTTCTTGTTTGACTAATTTCACTGCTAAAATAATCATCTAGAGATCTTTTAACAAATGCCCGACATGTTTACAGATTTTTAGATAATATCTCTGATTTTAAATTCAGATAATAGTGGTTGAATTTTTTATGCTTTTTATACTTTTTTATGCTTATGTTGAATTTTTTTATTGGTTGAATTTTTTATGCTTATAGTACAATAAAGTTTTTAATTTGTTGTCTAAAACAAAAGTATGCTAAAATAAATGTATATATTTAGTATAAAAATATCATCAAGAAAATAAGATTGAGCATGCACCAAAAACAAATAAAAACGGATTTGAACTAGAAAAGATGCTTTTATAATACATTATTTATTGGATTACTAGTACATTCAATTATAATCCTTGTAAACAAACAAACAAAAAAAATTTAAAAATATGGACAAAGTACAAAAGAGTAAAAAAGTTACATGTACAGGGTCTGTTCAGAAAGTAATGAGGCTGTTTACATAAAATCCATTTATTTGAAGATAATTTTACGGACACTTAATTCTTCAAAATAGCCTCCTATTGCATTAATACACCATTGCCGACTCTGCTACCCATTCATGCCTGCCAGGAAGTCTTCAGCTGGAATACTGTTCATTATGTTTTTTCTGAAGTTCTCCAGAATGTCAAGACAATACCTTTTAAGTTGGATTTTAACCTTTAAAATAGAAAAAAGGCCTGTGTTGACAGACTGGAGCTGTACTGTGGTTGAGTCGGCGTTACGACATTGTATTTTGTGAGGAACTGAGTGACTTTGAAGGATATGTGGACTGGTGCGTTATCATGGTACAGAATCCACTTATTTATGAGCTCCAGGCAGATGTACGCAATTAACCATCCTCAACCTGTGAAGCACTTCTTCATAAAAATCTACATTAACTGTCTGTAGAGTGGCATGAACTCTTTGTGCACTATTCAGTTGGTGTCAAAGAAGGCAGTGAGCATGGATTTCAGTTTTCATTTGCTCACTTGAGCCTTCTTTTTACAAGATCGGGGCATATGCCACTCTGCCATCTGTCTCTTTGTGTCGGGATCATACTGAAAAACTAATGTTTCGTCCCTGGTAATCACTTACTTAAAAAAAGTAGGGTCGCTTGTTGTTATGCACTTAAACAATTAAAGCAAAATTGACTCGCTGTTTTCTTTCTGATCATCAGTCAAAAACCTTGGAACCAGTTTGGAAAAAATTTTCCAATTTTAAAGTTCTTCTCTGATGGTTTGATGCACAATTGATTTTGTAATCTACATCTGCACAATCATTAACAATAAACATCTCCACAATCATTCTGACACTTACCTGACAATTAGAATCCAAAGCGCTTTAATTTTAGCCATATTGTCTGAAGTTTGAGAACTTGATGGATGCCCAGCACGTTATTCATCATTGACGCCTCCCTTTTGTGTTTGAAAGTTTTGTGCCACCTAAACACTTGAACCTTGGACAAAGAATCCTTCCTATAGTCTTTTTGTAACGTGGCAAGTGCCTGAGTAACCGACTTCTATAGTTCTATACAAAACTTGTGGCATATCACTGCTTGACATTCCTCTACATTCTGAACACCTAACACCACTTTTAAATGTATATCCGCTTCACGAGCGATCTGTGTGCTGCAAAGACTCAAGCCCTTCTGACTTCTACCTATGTCTGTAGCTGACAGCCCTCACCACCTGTACTGCCCGCAAACTCAACCTTTCGGATTTCTACTTGGCATGAAAAATTTAGTCTCGTTGCTTTCTGGACTGACTTTGTAACAAAACAGCATATAGGCAAGTACTTAACTTCTCAAAATAGCATATATGGTATATAAGCAGAACATTAAAATTGTTTGTAGTGAGCAGTCGGTGTGTTAAGTTATGCAGCAGTTTGGTGTTGAGTGAGTGACATTTCTATGTGCCTCTTGGCAAACTTATTCAAAAATTATAATTATAAAGTGTACAAAATTTTATTATTACTTAATTTTCTTTAATTTTAGTTTAAGAATATTGGAAGATCATTTTATTAACTTTCCTGTGCAAGTGCATTTCTGTGAATTATATGGAGTGAAACCTGTTGGTGATGACTGGGATCCAAGTGTTAAAGAATTTTTAATTTCAAAGTTAATTAGCAATCAAGAAATTTTTGCAAGAGTCATGGTAAGTTGCTTCTTTTTCATGTAGAATTGTGTATCTACTTGCATGTCTGTTTGTATTTGCAGAACAGAATGCTGTTATTTTTATTGCATTGATATATTATAAAATTAATATTAAACTTTTACCTGGCATATTTTTTATATAATCTGTTTAAACTTTTTCGTTACACCATTGTAACTTTCTCAGGTACATTATTTATTTATTTATTTATTTTCTTTTTGTTGTTAAAAGTAAAGTGATAAAGCTCATGACTGAAAGTGGATTATACCAAAGGTCAAATAAATAGCATATTTGTGAGAATATATACAGATAATGGACTTAAAGAAAGCTCATGACTGAAAGTGGATTATACCAAAGGCCAAATAATTAGCATAGTTATGAGAATACATGCAAATAATGGACTTTGAGAAAAAGCAGATAATTGATCAACAGAAGGCTAGTGGGTCAACTAAGCACATAAGGGTGCCAGTGTGGTATCTTTGCATGACACTCAGTTGCCTAACAGGGCTTAGTGACCTTCTTGCCTGTTTAAGAACTTGGGACCTTCCAGAACTTTAGTTCATTCTATGTCAGATATCTCCGAGGATTTTTTCATTTTTAATGGTTTAAAATGCAATATTGTGTGCAGCACATTGCAAGAAATCTATAATTCTTAGGTTTGTTCTATTTGAAATAAAATGATGATGTGTTTTTTTTCCACTCAACATATTCCTATCTAGTAGGTGAAAGAGGTCTCTTACAAACAATATCCTCTGTCTCACATTGCATGTTGCATGTATAAGCGTTACTTTCTAAAACCATCAAAATTATTGTGTAAATACCGACTTGAGATTTTTCATTAATTGTTTCAAAACATCTGTGCCATGTTTCGACTCAATTTTTTGTTCTTGGAATACCAAGATTTACTAGATTGAGTGCGAATCAGAAATCTAGAGGGAATAAAGAAGGACTTCTGAGTAATCCTTTCAGTTCTCATGTTCTGCCTGATTTCATAATGTACATAAGTCATCTTCTTAACCACTGTACGTCAGAATAAGAGACTTTATCTCCCAAATACAAATATCACCATATGGAAGATAATCAAGAGTTATAATGTGTTGAAGTTTCAAACTAAAGTCATCTTTGTCATACCTTTTAGCAAGCCCTGATTTTACACACTTTGTCCTAAATGAAAGCAACATCCTTTACTTGCAGCTTCTGAGAATTTGTCATTAGACAAATCAATTGCTGCATTTTCCAATCATAATGAATAGCTACATAATGAAGTGAAGATTTAACTCAAGGTCATGTTCAGCAGCATAAGTCATTAAAATATTGAAATAAATGAGTATAACATTCCTCTTATTTGCTGGTTTTGAAGTGCAAACAAGAGGAAGTGCTTTTGCATTTTCACCCAAGTGATGAATGGTACACACCTGAAAGAAAAGTTTTGTATTAGTTTGAAAATGTCCCAACCAAGATCCAGTAAAAGGCTTCTTTCACCAGTGCATTTTTTGGGGGGGAGGGGGATGAGCAACAACAAGCTTTAATTATTAAAGGATGAATCTTTTATTGGAAATTTTTCAACACTAAACAAAGTTCTAATGCAGTATCAAAATTTTTCAAAATTGACTTCAAAGGCAAAACTTCTTTAGTAGCTCTTTTTATAACTTGACTTAATTCAGGGTGACTAAAGCATTTTGTTTGTATATTATCTACTGCAATATCAGTTTTTTAAAAGCATTAGGTCTATGATTATGTTTCCATTGGCTCTGAAGGAGTTTTGCACTTCTTGCAAAAATTACCTCTGTTTTTGCCTTTGCTCATCAAATAACCATCAATAACTTTAGAGGACTCCTTTTCAAGGATACAACTTTACACACTTGAGTCATTTTCAAAAATAATATAAACATTAACCCCTAATGCGTCAACCCAATATGTGGCAGTAATTCTCGAGGTATAATGAAAATCCTTCAACAGCTTTTAAAGGTGCATTATCTAAAAAGTTAAGCAAATAATTGAACTTATCAACTTTAGATAACTTTTCATTTTGGTTTATTGCCATGCCAAAAGTATAAAATGTCAGCATTTCAATAAAACTTATCAATCATAATTTTTGACAATTTATCATTGTAATCAGAGTTTCTATTAACAACTTCAGAAACAAAAGACATGTTACCATTACCATGAGCAGAGCCATTAGAAAACAGCAAATTGTTAACATTAATTTTTCTTCTAATTTTGTGCCTCTGAAACTCCATTTTGTAATCTTTTCCTTGTATTCCAGGGCAATTTTGATTTCAGTTTCAATGTCATGTACATCAGCTACATCTCTATTTTTTGCATCTAATGCTTTCAAAGAAGCAGCTTGTAAAATTTCTAATTGTTCTTCTAATGTGTAGATTTTTTTTTAACCACATTTGACTTTTTAAATACAGTCAAAAGTCGTTAATTCGGACACCCATAATTCGGAATGATCTATAATCCGGACATCAAAACTAAAAACTTTCTGCGCATGCGCCGCGTTGGCACATGCGCAGAGGCATTCACGTGTGCGCGTAAGACCTTTTACGAGTGCGCATATGAGTGTGTGCAAGTGCAGAATACGTTTTCGCGTGCGCATTTTATGTATAATGGACGTATAAGCTAAATAATTATCTATTTCAGTTAATGTTGATGATTGCGTTGTTCCTTAATTTTCGAATTGCATCCGGCTTATTATTTTTTGCAGACTGTAAGAGCAATTTTATAAAAGTAAGCTTAAACTTTCGATTATATCAAATAGAATTTCCGATATATATTTGTTAATATGTAACGGATCTAAAGCGAAAGTATGTTTTGAAATCCGAAATCTGTTTGTCAATTTTCACACTGCTCGGCGGCGGGCGCATAATGAATTGGAAGTTGATTTGTCAGCACTATCCTTATCTTCAGCGCAGATGTTTTTATTTTATTTGGCTTATAATTCCTTACCAAATGTAGTATTTCATCTCGATATGCTCTGTCTTTGATATGATTTAAAACAAGTTCCTCGTCATTATAATTCGCTTCCGATAGCGAAGAAAAGTGACAGAGGTTATTGAAAACAAAAAAATTTCGATTGACAAATTAGTCGGTGTTCTTGACACAGCAATTATAGGACTTGAACGGCGGAACTTTGTAACTGAACAAGAAATTATGTCTGTTTAATAGAATTAAAGAGAAAGTATTATCACATGAAAACGAAGCAAAACTTAAACAACTTACATTGAAAGAAATGTTTAATAAAGTAAACAAATAAATATTAAGCTTTTTCTTTTTGCAAATTTTGATACCCTTTAGATCATAATTGTTCTTTATTTCATAAATTACGGTTTCATATTTTTAATTTTAGAATATCTGCATGCCATCTTACGAGATTTAAACTGATGATCTATAATCCGGAAAAATCGGTAATCCGGAATCGCCGAAGTCCCGACGAGTCCGGATTAACAACTTTTGACTGTAGAACATTTAATTAGTATTTTTTATTGCCGCTAGATGTGGCTGTATGTCTGTTATGGTGAAATATATCGAAAGTTCAGTATGTTTACCTTCATTCCTATGCTATTTTTTATTTATTTATTTATTTATTTATTTATTTTTATTATTTTTTTTTTTTTTTTTTTTTGATATTTTGTTTCGGAATGAGAGTGAGATTCGTGGGAGGGTGTTGAGCAGTGTCTCTTTAACTGCGTCATTTGGTATAAAGAAATGCACATGTTTTCGCTGCATTGAGGTACTTTTTATTTTTGCCATATACAGTCAAAAGTCGTTAATTCGGACACCCATAATCCAGAATGATCTATAATCCGGACCTCAAAGCTACAAACTTTCTGCGCATGCGTCGCGTTCACGCATGCGCACAGGCGTTTACGAGAGCGCGTAAGACCCTTATGGCTGCGAATATGTTTGTGCGCATGCGCGTTTAATGTGTAACAGAGTTATACGCTAAGCTAAAGTTATCTAATTCAGTTAATGTTGCAGATTGCGTTGTTCCTTAATCTTCGAATTGGATCCGGCTTATTATTTTTTGCAGACTGTTAGAGCAATTTTATAAAAGTAAGCTTGAACTTTCGATTATGTCAAATAGAATTTCCGATATATATTTACTACAAAGCGAAAGTATGTTTTGAAATCCGAAATCTGTTTATCAAATTCACGCTGCTCTGCGGCAGATGGGGGGGGCAGAAACGTCATTATTAGATTATGATAGATTAGAAAGATTATGTCAAATAGAATTTCCAATATATATTTACTAATACGTAATTTGTATCTACAAAGCGAAAGTATGTTTTGAAATCCGAAATCTGTTTATCAATTTCACGATGCGGATTGGAAGTTGATCTGTCAACACTATCCTTATCTTCAGAGCAGATGTTTTTATTTTATTTGGATTATAATTCGGTACTAAGTTTAGTATTTCATCTCGATGTACTCCGTCTTTGATGTGATTTAAATCAAGTTCCTCGTCATTATAATTCGCTTCCGACAGTGAAGAAAGTGACCCAGAGGTTATTGAAAACATTTCGATTGACAAATTAGTCGGTATTCTCAACACAGCAATTATAGGACTTGAACAGCGGAACTATGTAACTAAACAAGAAATTATGTCTGTTTAATAGAATTAAAGAGAAAGTATTATCACATGAAACGAAGCAACTTACATTGAAGGAAATGTTTAATAAAGTAAACAAATAAAATATTAAGTTTTTTCTTTTTGTAAATTTTGATACCCTTTAGATCATAATTGTTCTTTATTTCATAAATTACGGTTTCATATTTTTAATTTTAGAATATCTGCATGCCATCTTACGAGATTTAAACTGATGATCTATAATCCGGAAAAATCGGTAATCCGGAATCGCCGAAGTCCCGACGAGTCCGGATTAACGACTTTTGACTGTAGTGGGATAGATGTTCAATCATTAGAGATTTTTTTTAATTACTCTTCTTAGATTTCCCCCTTTTTTTTATTACTTTTCTGGCATTGAGATGAATATTCT